AATTGAATCCTCATCCAGCTTTTTGTTTTTTCCTGCCATTTCGTAACTCATTTTTGTCTGGCCCTATCAATGAGGATTTTACACTTAAACCATTGTTTTCCGTGTTCATTAATTTTCCGCTTTTCGTTGTCTTTCAGCGACAATTTGCTTTCAACACTTCTAATTCATCGCAATCATTTACATCGCCTGAAAATGCGTATTCATTTTTCCATTTTTTCACAAACTGTGTCGGCCCTCGAAAGTCTATCTCAGCCAATCGTGTTTTTTCAACAAACGCTTCTTCATCGTGATGCGCTGTCGTCTGGTGTGTTTTAATTCGTCACCAGAGATGGGAAGACTTCCGCGTCGCCATGTTGGTGCCTAGCAACGACCAAAAGTATTCACGGGAATTTACAGGAAGTCGTAATCACGTTTCGGTATGTTTTTTTCAAAATAAAATGCTACGTACCCGCACCGAATTAAATATTCACTATCACTATCAAACCGGAGCGAGTTATTCTAGTTCAATATTCACAACTTCCTCCCCCCCCCTTTTTTTTTTTGTTAGTTTTAAATCCCAGTTTGGTCCAGTTTACAACCGCATGGGGCGGACACTAAAACTGGATTTCATCAGTAGGACAGCAACTCAAATTTACAATCGTGGTAACCCCCACTTCAATCCTGACGGGTGGGAGATTCTGCTGTTTACAATCCCATGCAGATTATATGGGTTAGACACCGCACGAAATCGTAATCCCCAGTCAGACATACACAAAGGTAACAGTCCACGTGACACTCACACGTCAAGTTGCAACATTCACTCCAACACACACGCACACACACGGGACTGATCAGGTCCTGCGCCCCTGAAGCTAACCTCCGTTTCCGGGGCAACTGGCCCCGTACTATCAGAACTGTAGCCGTAGCCTAAAACAGTAAAGTTTAGAGAGCTACATGACTACCATGGAAACTAGCTTCTCTTTCCGGAGCCACCAGGTCCCGTCCTCCCGTAAATCAGACTGACCTAAATTTTCCTGCAATCCTTCCCGCTGGTCGAGCCTGCCCAGGTTCGTCGGATTGGCGTTTGCGTCTCCGCTGGCGAGCGGTCCGGCTCCTGGCCCCGAGAAAAGAGGTCTTCACGAAGTCCCAGTAGGCTCCGATGGTTCACCGGTTTGGTTCAGTCGCCGCAGATCGCCAACCGCAGGAGAGGCGTCACCACCATCACGAGCCCCCAAGTAATGTCAGAGATTTTCGCTGGGACAGTTTAATAAAGGCTTGAACACAGCAACAAATTGTCTTTCACTGCCGACAGGAGGCGCAGTTTTCTATGAAGCTACTCAGTGTGCGCTTCTCAACTGACAACCGACCTCTGCAGGCTCTGCCGGCTTTTTTATTGATTGTGTATGCAAATTACAAGTACCGTATTTTCCGCACTATAGGGCGCACCAAAAAGTCTTCCATTTTCTTAAATGCTCACCGAGCGCCTTAAAATGTGGTGCCTCTTATGTATGGTCATTACGGTAATACACCGACTCCAAGATGGCTCCTTCTTGGAGAGATGCTTCCAATGTTATAACTTGCTGTTGGTTCAGTGAACTGTGTCGCTGCTTTATTAAATACGTTTTGTCGCGGCTCCGAAAAAAGGAGAGCTGTGGTGTTGTTTTTTTTAAAACAGTCTCAAGAAATGCAGGTAAGTCTTTGTCCGTCTCCGTGCCTTCTGTTCTTCAGTTCGACTCGAGAGGCGTTCAAGACCGCCTCCGAAAAACGTAAACTCACGATTACTACAATGAAACTACAAAAATGAAAAATAATACATCAAAACTGAAAAGCAAGCGAGGATATCACAAAATACATTCTATAGCACCCCCCTACAGAATTTATATTGTGATTTCATCATTTGTGAATACACAACAAAGGAATAAATAACTACGACTGAAATCTGATCGTTCTATTCGAGCTATGATCAAGGAAATGCCAATGCGTTTTTCGGAGGCGGTCATGAACGCCTCTCGAGTTGAACAGAATGAGAGAAGGCACGGAGACAGACAAAGACTCACCTGTATTTGTTGAAAAAAGGAGAGCTGTGGTTTTATTTTTTATTTTTTAAACACAGACTTTATTAATTGTTTTCACAGTCTCAACAAATACAGGTACTGTACGTCTTTGTCCGTCTCCGTGCCTTCTTCCGTTCCACTCGAGAGGCGTTCATGGCCGCCTCCAAAAAACGTAAATTAATTATTACTTCAATGAAACCACGAAGAAAATCAAGCGAGGAAATCACAAAATAAATTCTGTAGGGGTGGTATAGAATTTATTTTGTGATTTCGCTTGATTTTCTGTTTTGATGCATTATTTTCAATTTTCGTAATTTCATTTAAGTAGAGTAATAGTTTATTTACGTTTTTCAGAGGCGGTCATGAACGCCTCTCGAGTTGAATGGAAGGAGCGTAGCACCATCTAGTGGAGGCATAGTAGATTGTGCCTTATAATGCGATGCGTCTAAAGTATGAATTTTTTTTTTAAAATAGCCATTTATTGAAGATGCGCCTCATAATCCAGTGCGCCGTTTAGTGCAGAAAATATGGTAATACATCAGAAAAACACTCCCATCTTCATTTACAGACCACGCCCCTGGACGGCCCCAATGGGTCACCCCTCAGTGGACCCCTGAAGGCCAAGGCATTCCCCTGGTACCAGCACCCACATCCATAAACCAACAGAAACAGAGACATTTTAATGAGTGGCCTTTCCATGAACTGATACATCCGTAACCTGGCTAGTGACCCTTTCTCATGATGGAGCGTACCGAGTACTCCCTTTCATCCAAAGTTAAATCTTTGTCAGTTAACAGGCGTCTCTGCGTTTACTCACGAGAGTTAAATCTTCCTTTCTGAGATGTGGTCAGGTACCACGCACTTGTGGGTCCCTTCACCTCAAATTGACCCCTGATTCTCTGTGCTCCATTGTGTGCAAGATGTGTGAACACATGCGTTCGAGGTCAATCAAGCATGTAGCAAAATGAAACTTTAAAACATGATAATGTGTTTGTCTACTCTCTAACCCAACCTGCTCTGTTTTGAACAAATCTTGGCTGTGTCCTGCCAATGGCGTCCAGTCGTTGACGTCGCTCATGGTCATCTTTTTCCGCACATAGTTCCTCCTCGTACTCTGCTATCCTTCTTGCGCACATGTTCACACGAAAATTACAACACCTTAATCGCCCTATTAATGTACAAAGTACACAATAATCTGCTCTGGACCTTAAAATGGGTAAATCGCTTGCTGAGCTCAAAAACAAATTCAGGAGAATAGTCCAAAAACCTACATCAATCGGAGTTAAGGTGAAAATTTTGAAACTGTCATTAAATATAACAATAAATCAGAATTAGGTTGAGAAATGTAGTAATGTAATGCAATATCCATTATAATTACAAGAGAAAATTGACATATAAATGTGCTCGAGTGTGTATGTATATGTACAAACCAAAAGTTGTCAAAATAGGTAAGTACAGCACAGATACGTGTAAAAGCATTTGTTTGTATGCAGACTTTTCCTTTTCTTTTCTGTTTGGCAATAAAATATGATCTATTTATATATTCATACATAACATGGGGCCGGACTACATACGTTTTTACTTCTTCCTACTCCTTTGAACCAGAGGCAATTGCTCTAAGACTGCAAGGGAAGCTCAGCTTCCCCTAAAATGTCAAAAGATTAGTGATCAAACATATGTATGTACATACAATTGTGTGTACATGTCGTTGACTAAATATGCGCTACAACGCGCTCAACTTTTGTTCTGAATCAGCTTTTTATTACTAGTTACGACACAACTCTTTTCTCATTCATTCCAGCAGCTTCACTGTGCTTTAAACTGTGTGGACGATGAGCGTCGACAGTGCAGACACTGGGTGTCGAGAGAGTACAGGGTAGGTTGTCCCAATGCACTGAAACAAGACAAGTCATTGGATAAATGTTTTTTGTCCTGCCCATGGACGCTCAGCGTCTCTGGGAGTCTTTGGACAGTGGGCATTTATGGGCTGGCCCGGATGCTGAGCCTTTCTGCATGATGATTGGATGATCTGTCTGAGGCGGAATCTCTTTTTGATTGACAGCAAAATGACCCAATCACCGATCTTTTGGTGTAGGCATCCGTGGGAGCATTTTTCAATTCTCATTCTGTTCTGAGTTGAACTGGAGACTGAGAATAATCTAAGCGACACTCTGTGTTGAAAATGACTACAGACAGATTAATATTTTATTTCTGGTGTGTTTTTTGTAGTTGCTTGTCTTCGCAGACTGACTTATATCACCACAGTTAAGACCCTGGAAAAGACGCCTTGTTGGTATGACAGGGTCAAAGATCATTTTCTTGAAAAGGAACAGAGAGTAGAATTCACATATAAAAAAACCGACACATTTTATTATGTAGGCCGAAATTGAGCTTCCCCTCATTGACAGACCAGCATCCGCCACTGCTTTGAACATACATTGTGCTGGATGATGCCTGTTTTCTTTTCCTTTTTTACAATTTTACTTAGTTTTACTTTCTGACAATTTATTTCTGTATATGTTTTTATGTTCAATAAACAATAAAACAAACGCACAAACAAACAAGATGGGGATTTGAAGAAGACTCAGCTGATCCAATCTTTTTGCGCAAAGACGTTATTGGACAGTAAGAAACACGCAGTATCAAACAACTATACACATGGCTCCATCACATATTTCATGACAACATGGAAAATGCCCATTTTATTCAGGATTGCATCCTACAAAACACGATGAAACACATATCTCGATACGTGGGGTGCTGTACAGTCAAGGACAGTACAGTTTAAAAAAAAACAAATAAGAACTAAATCAAAAAAGCAAACCTCCTTTCAAAATTAAATAAAACAAACTACATTTGAAAACCTCAACTCAAAGCCAAATAATAACTACCTGTAATGAAGAATCCAAAAGTATTATCACGGCGATGACATTGCGAAATTTTCAAATTAATTACAAAAAAAAAAAATTTGATGCACTCAAGGAAAAGAAAACTTCAGCATCCAAATAAGAAGGTACATAAAATACAACAAGCCTGCTCAGATGATAGGTGAGAATTTCATTGATCACTGTTCATATCATCAATACATTGGTGATTCCTAACCTGAGACTTCCTTGAGAATCTTTGGCCACAAACTGAGCAGGAAAAAGGTTTCTGACCAGTGTGGGTTCTGACGTGCTTTTTTAACCTTCCGTTCTCAGAGAATCTTTGGCCACAAACTGAGCAGGAAAAAGGTTTTTCACCAGTGTGGGTTCTTGTGTGGTTAATTACGTGATCTTTCTGAGAGAATCTTTGGCCACAAACTGAGCAGGAAAACGGTTTCTCACCAGTGTGGGTTCTTACGTGCGTTTTTAAGCTTCCCCGCCAAGAGAATCTTCGGCCGCAAATTAAGCAGGCAAAACGTTTCTCACCAGTATGAGTTCTGGTGTGTTTTTTTAAGGTTCCCTTCTGATGGTATCTTTGGCCACACACTGAGCAGGCAAAAGGTTTCTCACCAGTGTGTGTTCTTGTGTGTGTTTTTAAGGTTCCCTTCTCAGAGAATCTTTTGCCACACACTGAGCAGGCAAAAGGTTTCTCACCAGTGTGGGTTGTTACGTGCGTTTTTAAGCTTACCCGCCAAGAGAATCTTTGGCCGCATATTAAGCAGGCAAAAGTTTTCTCACCAGTGTGTGTTCTGGTGTGTGCTTTTAAGGTTCCCTTCTGAGAGTATCTTTGGCCACACACTGAGCAGGCAAAAGGTTTCTCACCAGTGTGTGTTCTTGTGTGTGTTTTTAAGGTTCTCTTCTCAGAGAATCTTTGGCCACACACTGAGCAGGCAAAAGGTTTCTCACCAATGTGTGTTCTTTTGTGTATTTGTAAGGTCTCCCTCGAAGAGATTCTTTGGCCACACACTGAGCAGGCAAACTGTTTCTCACCAGTGTGGGTTCTTGTATGCTTTTTTAAGGCTCCCTTTTGAGAGAATCTTTGGCCACAATCAGAACAGGCAAAAGGTTTCTCACCTGTGTGTATTCTCATGTGTCTTTTTAAGTTTGCATCCTGAGAGAATCTTTGGCCACAATCTGAACAGGCAAAAGGTTTCTCACCTGTGTGTACTCGCATGTGTCTTTTTAAGGACTCCCTCCAAGAGAATCTTTGGCCACACACTGAACAAGCAAAAGGTTTCTCACCAGTGTGGGTTCTCACGTGTCTTTTCAAATCATTCTTATAAGCAAATGTTTTGCCGCACCGAGAACATTTCCAGGGTTTGTTGTCAGTGTGACGTGTCAGTTCACCATCAGACTCTTCATCCTCATCAACATTTGATGCTCTGTTGTCATCATCTTTCGTACAAGGGTGCTCTGGCTCCTCCTCTTTTTTAATGTAAAGGGCCTGGTGTTCTTCTTCCTCTTTAAAGTGAGAGGGCTCTGCATCCAGCCGCTCAGGACAAGCATCTTCACTGATGTCTGCACGACAAAAGAAGACAAACACATGCAATTATGGTTTATAATTACAATGAAGGTGACTCAGAGGGCTAGACTAGTTCAGATTACAACTCAAAATGTGACATGACCAGCATGACATTTGTTGTGGATTTTTTCTTTCTTTCTTGGATTATTGTTATTCATGGTTATCATTTATTTAATTATTTTTTTCATCCTTGTTTTTTTTTTTTGTGAAAAGACTTGTACAGAGTGTGAAATTATACATTTTTGAGTGGTGGATAGGTCCAGAGCGTAAATTCTACCTCGTGCTTTTCACCTTTTGTGGGGCGTTTCTGAACCGGAAAAAAAGAGTGATTACTAGACAGTGATTCCTCGCGATATAGCGCTTCATTTATCGCAGCTTCAGTATATCACATATTGAGAAAAAAAATGCCGAACGACTCAGAGGTTTTGGACATACCTGTACTGTAGATACAACGGGCACTCATTCAAGGTGCATGATTGGTTTCCGGTGCGACTTCAACCAATGACCGTACGAGTGGATTTATCCCGTGAGCTGATTGGCTGTGCATCTTCGCAGCCCCACCTAATGTGACGAGACACTCGGGAAGCCTTGTGTCTGGTCACGCTGTTGATTCTTTAGCATACTCTTTTCGAAAATAAAAACACTTTTGTTTCTTTACTTTATTTGATCTTTATTTAACCTACAAATGTGTCAGATCATTTTGCTTGACCCTGTTCATATACACACACACACACACACACACACACACATATACATACATATACACACACACACACATATATATATATATATATATACACACACACACACGCACACACACACACACACACTGCATTTGGCTGCATGTCAGGTGTACGGCACCTGCGTGTGACGTTGTACCTGTAAGTGCGTTCTCAACACCGCTTGGCTGTTGCCGACGACTAGGACGGACTGGGCATGACTGAAATACAGATGGCAGCTCATTGACGGACTCACCAGACTGATGAGGCCCACCTCTGCACATATACACATTTTACAAGCGTACAAACAGCTCAAGTCTCCTGAAAACATCAACGTGTAGATTGTGGTTTATAAACAAACATAGTCCGAAGTTGCAAACAAAAATCACAACTGAAGCTAAAACAGAACTGTGACCAAAACATCACCGAAACAAACCTGACAGCAGCAGACAAATGGCAACAAACAAACATGACAGTAGCCAAGAGCAACAATGACCCGACAATGAGTGCTCGGGCTGGGAGTCCTTTTAAAGCCACTAATTACCTAACGACCAACAGGTGTGCAGCTGCAGGGAAAAGCCCCACAGTGCCACCTGTTGGTCACAAACTGAAACATGACCGTACCCCCCCCCTCAAGGGACGAATCCCAGACGTCCCAAAGTTGTCCAAAGGCTTGCCTCGCCGGGGAACGGGAACAATAGCAACGACGACCTTCGCCTTGCCGGAGAACAGGACAAGAAGCGACGGCAACCCTTTGGCTGAGCGTGGCCTGACGTGAATGGAGCTTGACGTAGCGGGGAACATGGGACAGTCGGACGTGAACAGGGGCTCGGCCTGACGTGGGCGTGGACGTGGCACGGCTCAAGCGCGTCTTTTGATTTCAACCAATCAGTGCCGACGCAACGTCACACACCCGACGTCACACACGACAACAGCTAAGCTAAGCTAGCCGAGACGACACTCGAAGTCAGACGGACACATTTTTCTGCCAATCTGTGTGTTTCCCTTTTTGTCCAAATATATTTTTTACGACAACTGTCTTGTCCATGGTGTCTTTTATTCGTTCCACTGGGGTTTAGCAAGTGTGTTTATAAAGAGACGAAAATCTCTTTACTGTTACTAGTGTTCGTGTCTCAACATGGCTACGCTCATGAAAGCAAAACAACTAACTCAAACGCGTCTTCGTTCAATGTTGTCAACTAATATCGGGATTAATTTTAGGCAAATTTTCCTCAATTCTCCGGAGAGATTTTCATAACAATTTGAAAAACCCGGAATTCCGGGAAAATCCGGAGGACTTTCATCTCTGCTCATCGTGATGGGTCCAGCAACACTGATGCGTCGACGCATGCGTCGAGCTCACAGAGCAATCTACGTGTTGGTGCGTGTGCTGCTTCGTGACGATCACATGACCAACACACGAACTGCGTCGACTCAGTTCAGGGGGCGTCGACGCAGCAAAAGCCCGCCACACAGTGTTTATAAGGAAGTGCGTCTGGCGACACGATGCCGCCTGCCGAAACAAGCCAGACTTCACCCTCGCTCGAATAAAAATATATATTTGTGCAAAACGGAAAACACACAGATTATCAGAAAAACGTGTCCATCTGACTTCGAGCGTCGTCTCGGCTAGGCTCGCTTAGCTGTTGTCGTAGTTCAAAGCGTCTTCAATTTGTCACGTGGGTTGCGTCGGCGCCGTGAGTATGTGCTGGCGTTCACGCGCGCAAAGCAGAGAGCAGCGGACTGTCGACTGCTGAGGCGCGCTTCACTCGAGTGACGTTGCTACAGTACGTGCATATTATGGAGCAGCTTCCGGACAAACGCAAATTGTCTGCCGTGTAGAGCCATTTTGATCTTCTTTTGGAGAATAAGGTATTTATTCAAATCTCCTTGTCTCACCAAGTGCCTCTCGGATTTTTGACGTCTTATTCCATTGTGTGTGTGTTCTCCACAGCAGGGGAAATAGCATGCAAGAAACGCAACAGACTCAAATTTAAAACACTGGTGCATGTTATTTTTCGAAATAAAAATTTGTGAAGACAACACCCACAAGCATCCTCATTCACATGATTTTCACATTACTGAAACACATTGAATGATACAATATGAATGCATGGATGTGAATGATATTGTATACACTTCATCATCAAATCAGTCAGTTCAGTCTGTCAAGTGGGTTGGCTGCAGGGATTTTGAATGTCCAACAGGCGGCAGTGGTCGGCGACACAGTATCAGCACAGTATCAACACAGTGTGTCAGTGTGTCGAAACGCCTCATGAATCCTCATGGACCCATCATTAGTAACTCATTTGTGCCCAGAATATTCTGCTAATAAAACCTTCGAAGGCACTGTTCATCGTCTCCAGCCTGTATTCGGATAACCAACATCCTCACCACTCGAAATGACACAAACACGCGCGCGCACGCACACACACACACACACACACACACACACACACACACACACACACACACACACACACACACACACACACACAACGAAAGATGTTATCGCCCATCAAAGTGATGGTGGATGCCCCGAGTGGATGTTTGAGCACGATGACTCCAAATTAAGGAGAATTTGGTCAAGAGTGTCTATAGAGGTTTCCGTCCTTTTCCCAATTACCCACAATGCACTACCGGCGGCCATATTGGAGAGCTGTTATAAACAAGCTATACACTAAGTCTATTCTGAATGTTCATTCATCCAAGAATATGCCGCTGACATGTGCTATTGTCAACTGTCACAACCGAGGTGGGAGGGATAAAAAGAGTTTTTTTTTAATCGCATTCCTAGGGTTACGAAAGGCCAAGGAGAGGCGGCAGAAAATATATATTGGGATATGGATAATAGTCGTAGAAATTATGTTTATATTATAAATGTGTATTTATAAATTAATATGATTTTTAGAGTTTAGCACTGGTACTATATAATGCACTACATGAGAAGAAAAATGTAACTAGCCTGGTGTAAGGTATACATTCTAATTAAATGTTATTCCACTGTGAGTAAGCTAAAGCAATCCCTCTTGCATAATTTACAATAATTTACAATATTGCAAACATATATTTAGCTCTATGTATTTATCCATCCACCCATCCATTATCTGTAATTACATGAATTGAGTGATTCAAAATATGAATTGAGTCATACAAAATATACTGTACTGACTGCATAAAGTTATGTGGAAAAAAATCTTCAAAAGATACGATTACATTCATTTATATAAATTAGGGGGATTGTGAAGGTTTGCTCGATGTCAAAATGTGTTTAGATGAACCAGGACAATTTATCGGAATCAGCCATCTTTGTTGGTGACATTGGCCTCGAACGCTTGGAAGGTCGGACCTGGGCCAATCCGAATGTGATCCTTCTGATTTCCCACCTTCCACGAATGCAACATATAACTGGAGGTGGGGGAGGGGGGGGGGCAAATATATGAGTTCATCGTCCGTACTTGGTGACTGAATAACTAAATTATTCTGACTCACACTCTTGCACATTAGAAGGCCCCACACTCTTGCACATTAGAAGGCCCCAATGCCTCTTAAAAGGACTGCGGTCAGACCAGCCTCCACTCACAAAACTGAAGTCAAATCAGCGCCACTGCAATTGGTAATACTGCGCGTTACGGTAATCTGCCGCCAGCGAACGATGTTGGCCACCTTCAAAATAAAAGCTCTCGAACCAATGCATGCAGTCAGTGGTTTGGATTTAAAATGTTATAAAATAATTTCTTGGCGGTCAGGCAACGATGAGTTCACCCAGGGAGAATGAAAACTCTCTTAAAATAACACCAATAGGCGTTCTGAGGTTCAGATTGAAAATGAAGTCAAAGGTAAGTCTACATCAATGACAAAAACTTCACCTGATCTTTCATAATATGTAAAAAAAAAAAAAAAAATCATTATCCCGCAACCAGACCTCGTCTACGGCACACTAGGCTATCCCAGGTATCCAACCATACTACTTTCATTAAGATCTGATGAAGTGGCGGATGCTGGTCTGTCAAGGAGGCGAAGCTCAATTTCGGCCTTCAT